CCTTCTTTCGCGCTCTCTCTCTCTCTCTCTCTCTTTCTCTGTTTCTCTCTTTCTCTCTCTCTCTCTATCCCTCTTTCTCTCTCTCTCTCTCTGTATCTCTCTTTCTCTCCCTCACTACTTCCCTCCCTCCCTCCCTCCCTGTCTCCTTGCCTCCCTGCCTCCTTGCCGGCCGAGCCGACCCGGCCGAACCGCAAACCTTTGGCTGACTGCCGAACTAGGCCGAACTGGCCAAACCGATTGAGCAGGGACCGGCCGTCCCGGCATTCTTATTGGCCTACCACGAAATTTACTGGAACCCCAGAAAGATCCGCGCATATGGCTTGGAATTACACGCGAAGAAGTTCCAGCTGCTACAGTCGAACACATTCAAGCGCATATGCTTTCAAGGAGAGAAAAAACATCACGAGTGAGCGCAATATCGTGTACTTAGGCTCGTCACTGACTGCGGACGGCCGCATGCGCCACGAACTGGGGAGGCGCATTGGGGCGACATCGGCTGATTTTCGGACTCTTCGTCGCATTTGGAGGCATTCCTCACTATCCCTCCGGTGGCGGCTCGCCGTCTTCAAGTCATTGGTAGAGTCTAAGCTGTTGTATGCATTACAGGCAGCGTGCTTCACGAAAACAGAACTTCGAAGATCAGACGGGTTCCAGGCCAGATGCCTCCGCAAAGTGCTCAACATCAAACCGTCTTTCTTGTCCCGCGTCTCCAACGCGTCGGTGCTGCAACAGGCGGGCGCCGAAGCAGCATATGTACAACTCCGACACAAACCATTGGTGCTGGGAAGGGTATTGCGACAACCTCAAAGCTCTTCAATGAGGGAGGCAACTGTCGTTCCAAAAACATTGACGCCATCATCAAACAGGTACGTCCGGAATGTGGGCCGTCCGAGGAAAGAATGGGTCCACAGTGTCATGCCAGACGCCATCCGGCTCGTGGGAGCAGGCCACCAGCTGCCCGCGACAGCGGCGGACGAGCTGCAGTGGCGCATGAGCGTGCGCAGCGCCGTTTTTCCACAGTGATGCGTCGTTCGTCTCGTCGCCATCTCCGCCCCTCTCCCTCCCTCCTTCGCCGTCCTCCCTCCCCCTCTCACCCAAGCTCTTTCCGCCGAGTGTCGACACACGACATGACATTCTAGACGCTTCGCGTATCCCCACCAGCCCGTCCAGAAATGAGTCCCAGGGGAGTGGAGGTTATGAGGGAAGCGGGGGAGCATGCAGAAGAACAAAGGGCGGGGTGAGCCGCCATATACCCCAAGAGGGGGAGGATGTAGGAGGAGCCGTCGTCGTCGGAGTAGGAGGAGGAAGAGGAGGAGCAGGAGGAGGAGCAGGAGGAGGAGGAGGAGGAATAGAAGGAGGAGGAGATGGAGGACTGCGAGGACGAGGAGGACGAGAAGGAGGAAAAGGAGAAGGAGGAGGAGGAGGAGGAGGAGGGAGGAGGGGGAGGGGGAGGAGGGAGGAGGAAGAAAAAAAAGGAGGAGGAGGAGGAGGAGGAGGACAATTGCGAACTTGGGGGCCTCTTGGGCCGTCCTTGGGGCCTCTTGGCGGTCCCGGGGGCCTCTTGCGTATCTCGGGGAGCCTCTTGTGGCCTCTTGGGGGTCTCTTGGGGGCCTCTTGGAGGCCTCTTGGGGGCCTCTTGGGGCCTCTTGGGGCCCTCTTGGGGCGCTCTTGGGGCGCTCTTGGGAGCCTTCGAGGCGCTCTTGGGGCCATCTTGGAGGAGATCTATCAAAGAAGGGGGGGTCCCCAATTAGCGCTGCCCCTCTAGAGTGCCTCGAGTCGCCTCTTGGGCCCCCCCAAGAGGCCAAAATCCTTCCAAAACCTAGTAAAATCAATGTTTTTTGTTTTCTCGCCTTTTCGCTCTTGGACCCGTCTTGGGAGCCTCTTGGGCCTCTTGGGGGTCTCTTGGGAGCCTTTTGGAGGCCTCTTGGGCGCCTCTTGGGGCCTCTTGGGGCGCTCTCGGGGCGCTCTTGGGGCGCTCTTGGGAGCCTTCGGGGCGCTCTTGGGGCCATCTTGCAGGAGATCGATCAGAGAAGAGGGGGTCCCCAATTAGCGTTGCCCCTCTAGAGTGCCTCGAGTCGCCTCTTGGGCCCCCCAAGAGGCCAAAATCCTTCCAAAACCTAGATAAAATCAATGTTTGTTGCTTTCTCGCCTTTTCGCTCTTGGAGCCGTCTTGGGTCATCTTGGACTCTCTTGGGGCCTCTTGGGGGTCTCTTGGCAACGTCTTGGAGGCTTCTTGGGGGCCTCTTGGGGTCTCTTGGGGCCCTCTTGAGGCGCTCTTGGGGCGCTCTTGGGAGCCTTCGGGGCGCTCTTTGGGCCATCTTGGAGGAGATCTATCAAAGAAGGGGGGGTTGCTTATTAGCCCCGCCCCTCCAGAGTGCCTCGAGTCGCCTCTTGGGCCCCCCCAAGATGCCAAAATCCTTCCAAAACCTAGGTAAAATCAATGTTTTGTGTTTTCTCGCCTGTTCGCTCTTGGAGCTGTCTTGGGCCATCTTGGACGCTCTGACACCTCGCGACCGGCCCCGTCCAGGTCAGTGGGGAGGGGTAAGGGGAGGGGTAAACCCCTCCCCGAAGGGGAAGAAGGGGGTTGGCAGAGGAAACTCCCTAGACCACCTACGCCCTAAAGGGCTGGTGGGATTAAGATGTGCTGACCAATGTTCTGGCCCAACGCACTGCTGGGGAAGGCGGAATCCCACCAGCCCTTTAGGGCGTAGGTGGTCTAGGGAGTTTCCTCTGCCAACCCCCTTCTTCCCCTTCGGGGAGGGGTTTACCCCTCCCCTTACCCCTCCCCACTGACCTGGACGGGGCCGGTCGCGAGGTGTCAGAGCGTCCAAGATGGCCCAAGACAGCTCCAAGAGCGAACAGGCGAGAAAACACAAAACATTGATTTTACCTAGGTTTTGGAAGGATTTTGGCATCTTGGGGGGGCCCAAGAGGCGACTCGAGGCACTCTGGAGGGGCGGGGCTAATAAGCAACCCCCCCTTCTTTGATAGATCTCCTCCAAGATGGCCCAAAGAGCGCCCCGAAGGCTCCCAAGAGCGCCCCAAGAGCGCCTCAAGAGGGCCCCAAGAGACCCCAAGAGGCCCCCAAGAAGCCTCCAAGAGGCTGCCAAGAGACCCCCAAGAGGCCCCAAGAGAGTCCAAGATGGCCCAAGACGGCTCCAAGAGCGAAAAGGCGAGAAAACAGAAAACATTGATTTTATCTAGGTTTTGGAAGGATTTTGGCCTCTTGGGGGGCCCAAGAGGCGACTCGAGGCACTCTAGAGGGGCAGCGCTAATTGGGGACCCCCTCTTCTCTGATCGATCTCCTGCAAGATGGCCCCAAGAGCGCCCCGAAGGCTCCCAAGAGCGCCCCAAGAGCGCCCCGAGAGCGCCCCAAGAGGCCCCAAGAGGCGCCCAAGAGGCCTCCAAAAGGCTCCCAAGAGACCCCCAAGAGGCCCAAGAGGCTCCCAAGACGGCTCCAAGAGCGAAAAGGCGAGAAAACAAAAAACATTGATTTTACCTAGGTTTTGGAAGGATTTTGGCCTCTTGGGGGGGCCCAAGAGGCGACTCGAGGCACTCTAGAGGGGCAGCGCTAATTGGGGACCCCCCCTTCTTTGATAGATCTCCTCCAAGATGGCCCCAAGAGCGCCTCGAAGGCTCCCAAGAGCGCCCCAAGAGCGCCCCAAGAGGGCCCCAAGAGGCCCCAAGAGGCCCCCAAGAGGCCTCCAAGAGGCCCCCAAGAGACCCCCAAGAGGCCACAAGAGGCTCCCCGAGATACGCAAGAGGCCCCCGGGACCGCCAAGAGGCCCCAAGGACGGCCCAAGAGGCCCCCAAGCTCGCAATTGTCCTCATCCTCCTCCTCCTCCTCCTCCTCCTCCTCTTTTTCTTCCTCCTCCCTCCTCCCCCTCCCTCCTCCTCCTCCTCCTCCTCCTCCTCCTTCTCCTTTTCCTCCTTCTCGTCCTCCTCGTCCTCGCAGTCCTCCATCTCCTCCTCCTTCTATTCCTCCTCCTCCTCCTCCTGCTCCTCCTCCTGCTCCTCCTCTTCCTCCTCCTACTCCGACGACGACGGCTCCTCCTACATCCTCCCCCTCTTGGGGTATATGGCGGCTCACCCCGCCCTTTGTTCTTCTGCATGCTCCCCCGCTTCCCTCATAACCTCCACTCCCCTGGGACTCATTTCTGGACGGGCTGGTGGGGATACGCGAAGCGTCTAGAATTGCTTCCCTGAGGGTCACGGTCTCATGTCACATATTCGCTAGACGGGTATTTGCCCATTGGCTGTCGGAGCCTACGGCCACAGCAGCAGCAGCCAGAATGTTCTAAGAACAAGAACAATGCTCTTAGAACATAAGCCCGATGTACTAGGATAAGACAGTCCCGGTTCTCAGAACATGTTGCTGAAACCACAAAAAGGTTCTTAGAACATTATTTGGTGGGCCTATAGGCACGCCAGGACGCTTCGCCACTGCTTGAACCTAGCGGCCAAACGGGTCGCGCCGAATCGAACCGAATCGAAGCCGGGCAACCATGAAATCAACGAACCCCGGAATCCAGGTGGTGCCAGGAGGTCACGTCGCGAAGCGTGGACTCCTCTTGCTTCGCGTGAAGCTCGTCAGGGCATGTGATCCGCGCGCTTCTGTTTTCCTTCCATATTTCCCTTCTGACTGCAGCGATTCTAGCGTATGTTGCAGCACTGCTGCAATTATAAGCCCTGCATTAGGCATTATGCGTGCATGTTGTACTCATCAACATTCGCGGTCTGACTGTGGACAGCAGACGGTGATAGCGAGTGATGGGGGAAACTGTTGAACTGGGACAAGGGGCAGCGAGGGTACAGGGAAAGGAAGGAAATGGGAAGGGATAACCTACTCTTCCCTGCCACAAGCTCCCTCCTTCCTCCCCCTCCAGCTCTCCCTCCAGGGCGCCGCTGGAAGCGCAGAAGTTCTCCGCCAAGCGAACACGAATATGTAATTCACGCTGGCTTCCAACTCACTACGTTCGGATCGCCTCCTCCTCCTCCGCCTCGTGCTGAGGTCCTTGTCGCCGTTGAGCATGTCCAGGCCGAGCTTGGGGACGGCGGACCCTGGACGGACCGAGCGCCCTCCGGAGAGCTCGTCCAGGCTGTCCCCGGGGTCTTCGGGCTCCAGCATGGGCCGCTTGTCCTTCTTCTCCTTCTTGTCCTGCGGAGGCGGGGGGGGGAAGGGGAGGGTGAAAGAAGAGGGGAGAGGGGGGCGTGGCAAGCCAGGTGCGCTCGCACCAAATCTGACATCCTACCCCTCCCACCCATCCCTTCTCATGGCGCTGATTTTTCTTTATCCGCCGACACGTGCCATAGCGGAGCTGGAGTTCCAAAAGGGACCCCATCGTGTCACGCGCAATCGGAAAAGCGGAGCTGCATACATTGGAGGAGGAGGTGGCAGATGAGCAGGAGGATGAGGAGGAAGAAGAGGAGGAAGGAGGACGAGGACGAACAGCACCAGCAGGAGATGGAATGGAAGGAGCGAGAGGAGAAGAATGACCAGGGGAAGGCAGTGAGAGGGAAATGAGGGGGGCGACAGCGATGAAAAAGACTCGGATCCAGAACAGTGGCCCTCGCTGGGGTGAGAGCGCCATTCTGAACGATGGGAGCAACGCTCGGCGATCCGAACTCTGACGCATCGAAAATTATAGGAGTATAACACACACGACACATACACTCCTGCCATCTTGTATTCTAAGAAACAACACTCCGAGAGAACCCACTATCTTCCGGACGGAGTCAGAGGAGAGAGGAAACTTGTATTCATAATGTGTAGTTGTAGAGAGGCAGGGGGCGGGGAGGAGAAAGAAAAGGGGATACAAACTAGGCGCGCTCGCGCCATTTCTGACATCCCGCCCCTTCCACCCATCCCTTCCCGTTGCGCTGAATTCGTTTCTGTCCGACAGCCGGGGTGCCCTACAGTCAGCCCGTAGAATAAGCACGCATGAGAAGGATGAAAGGGCCTTGGAAGGCCATGTCGACACTTTGCAGGCGGGGCGCGGTCAGCGAAAGCGGTCAAGGATGAGCCGAAGGGGCAAGGATGGAAGGGTAACCTTGGAAAGTTGCTCATCCATGCTATGCGGGTTGACTGTCGGAGGTTGGGGGGGAAGATCGCAGTGGAACGGAGACCCCCGACCGGGAAATCGCTTCGTTTCTTTCGTGTCGTGCGTGCGGGCGAGGCGAAGCTGCGTGGGCGCGCGAGAGGAATGAACCCGCCGTTGCTAGGGCGAAGTCAAGACAAATGTATCTCCGTCTGGTGGTGGCCCGCGGTGTCCCGCGGTGTCCCGTGGTGTCCGCCGTTGCTAAGGCGAAGTCAAGACAAATAATTCTCCCCCTCCCGCCTGTCCGGCGGTGGCCCGCGGTGTCCCGCGGTGTCCCATGGTGTCCCGTGGTGTCCGCAGTTGCTAGGGCGAAGTCAAAACAAATGATTCTCACCCTCCCGCCCGTCTGGCGGTGGCTCGCGGTGTCCCGCGGTATCGTCCTGTCGTGTCCCGTGGCGTCCGCCGTTGCTAGGGCGAAAACATGACAAATGATTCTCCCCCGCCCGCCCATCCGGCGGTGGCTTGCGGTGTCCCGCGGCGTCCCGTGGTGTCCCGTGGTGTCCTAAAAAGTGAGATGGATCATGAGATCGATAGCGAGATCGATAGTGAGATCGATAGTGAGATCGACAGGTGTCCCGTGGTGTCCCGTAGTGTCCCGTGGTGTCCCGTTGAGTGAAATCGATCGTGAGATCGATAGTGAGATCGATGTGGTGCCCCGAGGTGTCCCGTGGTGTCCCAAAAAGTGAGGTCGATAGTGAGATCGACAGGTGTCCCGTGGTGTCCCGTTGAGTGAGATCGATAGTGAGATCGATGTGGTGTGCCGAGGTGTCCCGTGGTGTCCTATGGTGTCCCGTTGAGTGAGATCGTTAGTGAGATCGATAGTGAGACCGATAGTGAGATCGACAGGTGTCCCGCGGTGTCCCGTGGTGTCCTTAGAAGTGAGATGGATAATGAGATCGATAATGAATTCGACAAGTGTCCCGTGGTGTCCCGTGGTTCTGTGGTGTCCCGTTGAGTGAGATCGATAGTGAGACCGATGTGGTGTGCCGGTGTCCCGTGGTGTCCTATGGTGTCCCGTTGAGTGAGATCGTCAGTGAGATCGATAGTGAGACCGATAGTGAGATCGACAGGTGTCCCGCGGTGTCCTTAAAAGTGAGATGGATAATGAGATCGATAATGAATTCGACAAGTGTCCCGTGGAGTCCCGTGGTTCTGTGGTGTCCCGTTGAGTGCGATCGATAATGAGATCGATTGAGTCAGATGTTGGTTCCCCCCTTCTCCCCCCACCACAACCTCCTGATCACCCGAAGGGTGGTCGTATAGGTAGATGACCTTTACCCCCAGGGTGAACTCACCATGTGACGGACAACCTGAAAAAGGACATGGGCTCTGCACACTGGCCGACGCGGCGGCGAATGGGCCGGAGGACGGCAGGGAGGACGGGAGGACGGCAGGAGCAGGAGGGCCAGGGGGGGGCGGAGGGAAGAGGGGGGGGCCTGGGCTCGCTCGCGTCATTTCTGACGTCATACCCGTCCCTCGCATCCCTCGCCATAGCGTAGATCTCCTCTCCAAATTGGCCGAGAACGCGCAAATGGAACAAACGATGAGACGGGAGCGCCATTGTGGAAGAGCCGGAAGCGCGGAAATGAAACAACAAATGAAGCGAGGTCGCTTTGCCGGAAGGACCCGAGACGGGGGGGAGAGACGGCACGACGAAGAAGGAGAAGCAGCAGCATGAGCAGGAGGAGCAAGCAGGAGGAGCAGGAGGGCGGGCCAGGGGAGGGCGGAGGAAAGAGGGGGGGAGAGACGGCACGATGAAGAAGGAGGAGCACGAGGCCGAGGAGGCGGCGGAGGGATAGGCAGTAGGACGGCAGGAGCAGGACGAGCAGGAAGGGCCAGAGAAGGGCGCAGGAGGGACGAGGGGGGCCAGGGGAGGGCGGAGGAGGGAGGAAGAGGGGGGGAGACGGCATGACGAAGGAGGAGGAGCAAGGGCAGGCTTAGGCAATGCTGCTCTAGGACAGCGCTGGAGCTAAACGAAAGCGCTCCACGAAATCGCCAAAATACCGTTTAGCTCGAAACCTCCTGCTCGCGGAAGTCAAGTGATCACACCAGCCGTGCTACTCGGAGGCTTCTGAGCGTCGTCATTGCGACATGTCTGTATGGAAATACTGCTGGAGCAACGGCAGGCGCAGGAGCAGGGAAGGCCAGGGGAGGACGGAGGAGGGAAAAGGGAGGGAAGGGGAGACGGCAGTGCGGTGGGGACAAATCGCACGCAAACATGCGTGTCCTGAAATGCGACGGAGCGCTTTTCGCGTGAGCTTGGGCGGGGGGGGCGATGTCCCTGGCCACCCCCCCCCCGCCGGATCGAGGGATGGGGGGGTATCAATTCCCCTCCCCCGTCCCCTTCCCGGTGCAAGGGGGGGCGGGGGGGGGAATGCAGTGGGGGGAGGGAGGTTACAGCCGACAGCGACGACCGGCGATGACGGGGCCGCCGACGACGGCGACGGCGCGGGGGTCGGAGACGAAATCTATACGGGAGATGGTAGTACGTCGGCGCCCCTTGAGCCCTCTCATGGTCTCAACGAAGTGTGCATGCCCTGCCAGCTGCGGAGGCGAAGCGGGCGGTCGGACCACGTCTGCGCAGGCGGCTGCCTCTACATCCCGACTGCCGAAGCAAAACCTCGCGTGCCAAGGTATACGACGCTGAGCGCGAACGCGGCGCGCAAGAAACGTGCGTCCCGTCCTCGCACAGTCTGTCACAGGCCCCTTGTTTGGCTTCAACAACGAGGAGTGCACAGGAGTCGAGCAGACTGTACAAATTGGAACAGGGATCTCTGAGAGCCGACGGGCCCAAATGTAATTACCCTCATGTGGGCTCGGCTTGACCGCAAAGATCGGCTCCATACACACATATCTTCAGTCGCTGCCGACGGAGCCTAAATCAAAGCAAATACCTGTAGTACACAGTACACATGAAAACAACAAGGAATCCTAATTGGGAAAGGTCGCCGGCCCCATGCAACCCTGCAAACGCAGCTGACGCTAACCGGAGCCCGGATGCTTCGGCGGCGAAGGAATCGGCCAGAGGATGCATGACTTATGGGGTACCACTGGCGTCAAGAGCTCGGCGAGTCTTTTGTTAGAAGCTCATTCTAGCAGACACTGCCTCTGCTCAGTTGCTGTGATGTCTTTAGCTGCCTTCAGTGTATTAGTTGCGGCCTCTAGTGGCCTTCAGTGGCCTTTTAGCGGCCCTTAGTGGCCTTTGGCGACCTTTGGTGGCCTTTCGCGGCCTTTAGTAGCCTGTGCAAATGTGCAACAAGGCCACTATGCATGCCAAACAGAGCTTCCAAAAAGACTCACTCAACAAGAGCGCTCTGGAACTTTCCGTGAAACGCGGTAACCAAAACATCCGCATGCAAAGACTGCCTCAAACAAACCACCGCACGGGCATCATCCATCCATCTAATCCCCTTTCTGCTGCCATCAGCAGGCCGCTGGGCAAGAACAATGTGTCCTTCTTACCTTTCTTTTCCTTCGTGGCCTGAGAGTCGCCCAGCGGCCCGAGCCTGCGGGATAACTCCTACACAGCCTTCTCTGTTTCTCTCTCTCTCTCTCTTGCTCCCTCGTTCGCTGCCCCCCTCCCTATCTCTCTCTCTCTCTCTGCCTCTCTCTCGCTCTCTCTCTCTCTCGCTCTTTCTCTGTTTCCATCTCTCTCTCTCTCTCTGATTCTCTGTTTCTCTCTCGCTCTCTCTCTCTCTCTCTCCCTCTCGCGATCTCAACACAATGCCCGTCATTGCCAATCGAACAGGGCCGAACAAGGATGTACTGTAAACGCAGTTGGATACATATTTGAAGGATGGGAGACACATGGAATCGCGGCCAAACGCTCGAATGAAGGAAACACATGCTGGGTGTAAACATGCTGTATGTAACACGTGCTCGCAGCCTTGTGCGTGCGTTCGAGGTCTTGGGCATTTGCACAGGCATACTCCCAATGTCTCGACGAAGAGAAAGAGAACTGTTATGCGGAGGAGGCGGACATGAACGGGAATTTGACTCAACCGCCCCCATGGGCAGCCCTGGCAGCGGCAGCCCCTCGCGTGCTGCACGCATCGTGGTGGGAGCGGGCCTCACGCCCTCTGCTCTGCGCCTCTCTGTCCCCTGCCCGCTGACCCCTGTTCTTCCCCAGTCCCCTTCTCCCTTCTCCCATCCCTCCCACTACCTCCGCCCCCCTCTCCCCTTATGGCCTGCCTGCTCTTCCTCCTCCTCCTCTTTACCCTTCTGGCCTGTCGCAGCTCCTCACTCCCCCCTCGAGGCGATCGTGCATTTCTCATCCTTTTTGTTCTGCAGCTGCTCCGCGGTAATTCTGCTCCAACGGGAGCGCGCGCGCCTCGGATTGCTGCCCGAGTGCGACTGCTCCTGCGACCCGGGCGGGAGCACGAGGGAGGAACAGCCCGGAGGGAGGAACAATGAGGAGCAAGCAACAACGGATAACGAGGAGGTACGAAGAAGAATAGGCATGGCAAGCAAATGAGGGGCAGGCAGTACGAGGGAAGCGTATGTGCCAGTTGGAGGAGATGGAGGCAGAGCGTACGAGGTGGCTGATAAGGACGAGGACGAGGGGCGGATGGAGGATGGCGATGAACGGCAGCGAAACCTCGCCCTGCTGGGGCGACGGATGCTGTTGGTTGTTTTGTTTGTTGACCGCTGAACGAGAGCTTCAGCCTCCAGCGGCCCCAGCAGTCGAGGCAAGATATTTAACATTGCATTCAGTCCAAAAGCTCCGAACGTGTTCTAGCCACTCAGGCTCGTAACTGTTTCCACACACTTCGGTTCAATACAACTGTCTTCCAATACGTGTGATATATTTGAAAGAAGAACGATGCCACTTGAGCTTCGTAATGCCATGGAGAAAATCGGCCATGGCCCTGCCTATCAAATGCTGCGTACAGATTCAAACGACTCTCATGATGGCTATTCCATGTGAAGACCTGGCATACCAACGAATCTGGGCAATTGTCCATACGCCGACCCGCGTGCTCGGAGTACTGGTAAGCACGCCGGACGGCCACCACATCCAAATCAATGGAGTCGCTTTCGCCCCGGATGTGCGTCAAAATAAGCCTTTTGTCGACGACAATAATGTTCATCAGCTTCCGCAAGGAATCGTGGAACACGGATGTATTTCAGCATAGCCCCTATTTGGACTGCGCGCAGTTTGTGGGCAGCACTCTGGTTGTAAGTCCACACGCCAAGCGACCAAGTAGGCGTAGACGTGCAGATCTGGCGAATGAGGCCGCACCGCTGTTTTCGGACAAAAATTCTGTCGGAGAGAAGAGACGACGATTGAGCAACTGAACTCCGTTCGGCATACGTCTTGCCTCTATTGTCCTGCCCTGTGCGACCATGCGCATGAATCCCACCAGCCCTCTGGGCGTAGGTTGTTCAGGGCGTTTATTTTTCCACCCCTCCCTCTTCCCCTTCGGGGAGGGCTTCATCACTGTTCCTTATTAGTATACACCCCCTCCCCCAGGCGACTGGGGGCCAACAAAGCATCATGCCAACACCATGCCGAACCGCCCCCCACCATGCTTGTCAACAAACATTACAAACCGCACTCTGCCTCCACATGTGGAGCATGCGCGGCCAACCCGATACGCCCCCCCCCCAAACATCCCTTACTACACTTTGGGGCACATTCTTGAGTCATGTTCGCGAGGCCCACGAACCCTTCGCATTGTTGTTGACAAGGACGGCGGGGGTATCAGCATATTCCCTGCTGCGCGCAGGGTTACCATCCTTGACAAAAAACAATTCAAAAGGCACCTCGCGACTAAATCTGGGCCGTGCGCGGCCATCCCGCGATCACTGCCAAGTGGTTTTGACAGGGTCGGCGGGCGTGGTGGCGCGTGGCCTGGTGTGCGCACGCCCACCAGACACAATAATGGTCATCGGTTTTCGACCAGGACGGCGGGGGCCGACATGTTTCCCGATGTGTGCTGTCACGTGCGCAGGCGCACCTGACGCACTCTGCACGTGCCCCGAACGCGGCGCACCTGGCGCACTCGGAACACGTGGCGCATCTGGCGCACCAGGCGTGCCTGGCACGCTCGGGCCCCAGGGGTGCCTGGCGCGCGTGGCGCCCCTGGCACGCGTGGCGCACCTCGCCCCAGCGTCGCGCACCTGGGGTCGGCTTTGTTTCCAAGTAGCTGTCCATCCACAAACGACCGCTGAACAAGCTCAGGCTCGGGTGTTACGTTTTTTTTGTTGCTATTGATGCGCAGCGCCATAATCCAGCCCACTCCGGCTCGGGAACCAGAAAAAACCTCGACGCGGCCCCCACCGTGCCCGTGGGTCCAGCTACGCACACCGTGCCCGTGTGGAAGCTGCGCCGTACACTAAGACAACGGCGCTGTGTGGATATCCCTTTGGGCCTGGTCAGCCCAATCTATAAATCACACACAGCGGCGGCAAAATCGTTGACGGAAGGTTGGCGAAGAAATCTGCTGCCCCTCACGGGGGCTATCACCCAGTCCCCACGCAGCGGCAGTGTTCACTACTGGCCGGCTGGGCAAACGTCACCACAACCAGGGGGGGGGAAGGGGGAAAGGGAGAAGGAGGAGGAGGAGAAGGATGTAACACGCACCCAGCGAATTCGCGCCAACGGCAAAAAACAATGATCCTTGGAGCACGGAAGCACCTCGCATTTCCATCCAACATTGAAAACCAATCGAGCTCGAATTGGAAGCGGGGCGGGGAGAAGCGAGCGGAGGAGGGGGATAAACCGGACAAACTATGAAGTCTCTAGATCAGCCCAGCTCGGATGATCTACGAATCAAGCACTCAGAACTATAAAGTGCGCGCAAGAAAGTCCCAACAGCGTGAGGCTGGCAAGGCAAAGGGCTGCACCCCGGTTGCAACTGATACACTAAATCGTGGATGAGGCTGTCCACACGGACGTGCCGCGTGGAGGTGGCAAGCCAGCGAAGGCAGCGCGGGCCAGCAACAACTCCCTCAAGGGAGCGGCCGACAAGACCGGGCGGCACGTCAGTGGCCCACCCCCGCGTGCAGCCGGCGCACGCGCCAATTCTTCGCACAGGAGCGGCCATCCCGGCGCACTCCGTGCCACGTCCCTGGGCGAGGAAGAGGAGAAGGCGGGAAGGAAAGGAGAAGAGGAGGGGACCGCACGCTCGAGTCGAAAGCACTGGGCCTCCACAGCCGCGGATGGACCTGCCGGCTCGGAGCCACCGATCGGCACCACGATTCGGAAGGAAAGGGGCGAAGCGGAGGGAGGAGGCGGAGGACGAGGAAAGAGGGGGAGGGGGCGACTGCACGCTCGAAGAAAGCGCTCGGGGCCTCCACAGCCACGGACACACCTGCCGGCTCGGATCCGCAGATCGGCACCACTATTCGGAGGAACGGGGACGGGGCAGGAGGACGGAGGACAGGAGAAGAGGAGGGGACTGCACGCTCGAGTCGAGCGCACTGGGCCTCCACAGCCGCGGATGGACATGCCGGCTCGGAGCCACCGATCGGCACCACGATTCGGAGGGAGACGGACGAAGCGGAGGGAGGAAGGAAAGAGGGGGAGGGGACGACGGCACGCTCAAGTGGAGCGCTCGGGGCCTCCACAGCCACGGACACACCAGCCGGCTCGGATCCACAGATCGGAGTCACGATTCGGAGGGGGCGAGAGGAGGAGGATGAGGAGGAGGAGGAGGAGGACGGAGACTGCACACTCGAGCCGAACGCTCTGGGTGGTGCTCGCGGCCCTGAACAGACCTGCCTGCTCGGATCGACGGAACGGCACACGAAACAAAAGAAGAGAGGCGAGGCGGAGGGAAGGCGAACGGAAACAGGGGGAGCGGACAACAGAACAAGAAACAGAGGCGGCGCTGGCATTAAAGAAGTTGCTGGATTGTCACCCGTAGCGCGTTCACGCAGGCAGCGGGGCTGCGGCCTGGTACGTGCCTGCACCGACAATGGGTCAGGTATACGCTGGCCGTCAGAAGCGCCCGGCGCCGCAGCTCGGGGGCCGTCTGCTCGCTGTGGGGCGGCGCCAGGATCAAGAACCTTGCGAGCCGCGCCTCCCGCGATGCTGGCCAGGGCAACCCCAGCAAATCGGCCGCCGCCGCGGCGATGCAAGGGCAATCGGCGTAGTGTTCCACGGAGTCCTCGCCGCCCGCGCACCCGAAGTAGCATCCCGCGCGCTGCTGAAACCGCGGGGCGGTGACCCAGCCGTTCCAGAGCGTCCGCAAGCACGCGGCCAGCGCCCGCGGGGGCACTCGCCCTGCCACGGCGGGGTATAAGCTCAATGCGCGGCCGGCCATCTCTTCCACTGACAGGCCACAGGACCAGCGCGACAGCCGATGCCGCAAGAAGCGTGCCAGGGGCGCGGCCCTGTCGGGTTCGATCATGCGCACGCACGTGCACTGCCACGCTTTCTTCAAGTATGCCGGGTCGGACGTGCCCGCTGCCAGCGCCGCCTGGCGCGGGCCCATCCCGCGCTGTTGGAAGTAGCTCTGGGCCGCATCCAGCTGCAAGAGGAACGAGTTGTCGAACCACTTGCTCCAGTGCCCCAGGCGCGCAGGCGATGCCGTGATGTGCAACCGCGTCGTGAGGCTCGGGTGCTACTGATGTGTAGGGGGGGACGGGTGGGAATGAGCTAGACGACTTGCGGGCGGGTGGGTAGCTTGACCCCTCCCCCATACTCCTTCCCCTGGACATGGACGGAGCTGGTCGCGGGTAATTAGAGCGCCCCAAACGGACTCGGCGAGGAAACCACAATCATTGGTTGTACGGCGGTGTTAGCTCCATTTTGGCCTCTTGGGGGGGAGCAGGACTGAAAGGAACTCCTTTCTCTTTGATCGATGTCCTCCAAAATGGTCCCCAAAAAACACCCACGAGGCCCCAAGAGGTCCCAAGATGGCCCCAACATGGCCCCAAGAGGCCTCAAAGAGGCCCCCAAGAGGACCCCAAGCGGACCCCCAGGACCGCGAAGAGACCCCCCAAACGCCCCAAGAGGCCACCAAGAAGCGCCCAAGGGATACCCCAAGAGGCTCCGAGAGGCATCCAAAAAACCTCTGGCCCTTTTTGATAGCCCTCCTCCTCCTGCTCCCCCTTCCTCCGCCTATTCCTTCTCTTCCTCCTCCTCCTCATATCATATCCCTTCCCCCCCCCCACACCCTCATCCATCCATTCAGCCTCCTCCTTCTCCTCCCTCCTTTGCACGATTCGGCTGTCCCCCAGTTTGCTCTCGCACTTCCCTGAATACCTGAACTCCCCTGGACATCGTTTCTGGAAGGGTTGGTGGGGATACTTCTTGTCAGCGGCCGCAGGCGAGCGCGCCAGCGGCGAGTCCAGTCAGAGCGGGACGCGCAAAGACGAATTAAACCTAAACCGGTGGGCCGGGGCCTCAC